TTTCGAGAATTTTACAGAATTAATGATGTCAATATTTATTGTTGCTTACAGCCAATACGATGACAAAGATGCTGCTGGTAATGACGTCATTTGTGCCACAAAACAATTCTACTTATTCAGAAAATTAAAACTTTTACTTTTACAGACGATAGCAATGTGGTGGTACGCTTACGCTACGGCACGCGCGCCTGGCCCGCGCGCCGGGCCCGCGCGCCCGCCACGTGACGAAAGTAGTGCGCGACGTCACCGCTAGGTGCCGCAGGCGCCACTACCTTTCTCGTAATTAAGATTCACCCACGCCCGCTATATCTAGGGCTCCGTGGGTGGTCTCCAGCAAGTTTCCCTGCTCTCGAAATAGTGTGAGCTTCTCCAGGCAGAGAGGACCCGAGATGCCGGCCTTTTGGCTGTAACGCTAAAATGCCCTCGCGCACTATCGCCCTCTGAAGAAGTGGATCCAAATTACATAGCAAAATGGACTTTTCTGCTCGGGTAATACAATTTGTGGTGCGTGTCCGTGCTAGATCCACTTCTCGAGGATGTTGGTAAATCATTATTTGATTCGCGTCTGTGCTAGATCCACTTTTCGAGACTGTTAATAAATTGTTATTTGGTTATTAATAAATCATTTTTTCTTGTTTCCGTGTTACATCCGCAAATTATGAATCAGAAATATTTTAAGTATTCATTTATATAATTATATACTATATGTCTATATTAACGTGCGCGTGATTTTTTCGCTATAGCGGCTTTATTAAAAATTATTATATTATTATATACAATATCTACTTACATATTGTATATATTTATGGGAAAAATAGTTTTATTATAAATACGATAAAATGTAAAATATGTATGTATATATTACATTAAAACGATGTATTTTATTTCAGATTTTAATAAACTGCATGTATATATGTATATTAAACTGACTGGAATCTGTCATGATTCTCTAACTGTTACAAAGCATGTGTGTACACTGTATAATAAAATTATCCATTAGACGTTTGCTCGATCCCATGACACACAAAATTTTTTTCGACGAGCAATAAATTAATTTATTTTTTTTATCGATTTGATTGTTTTGGAGAATATTCTTAATTTACACTTTTT